AATAGGGGAGGGACAGAGGGGGGTGGGGAGTTGGGGAGAGATAGCATGGGGAGAAATGCCAGATATAGGTGATGGGGAGGAAGGCAGCACATCACACTGCATGTGTGTACCTATGCAACAATCTTGCATGTTCTTCACATGTACCCCAAAACCTAAAATGCAATTAAAAAAAAATTGAGGAAAAAAAAAAAGAGCATCAAGCCTGTATCTGAAAGCATCTCCTCACCTTGGAGTGCCCAGGTTCACTTGGACTCTGCTTTATTCTGGAAATATTAATTCATCGGCGGCAGCTCTGGCAGCATCAAAACAAGCCAGACTGATAGACCCCCCAGGAAAGCAAAACTTTCCCTCATCCATGAAGCTGTACTCATTGTGTTGGATATGAGACCTCTTTCTTATTTCTTCCGTTTATTCACCTGACTTACTTTCAGAGTCCTTTATGCTGCACGCCTTCATTCCTGGTGCCCTCTCATCTCTTCTCCAGTCCTGCTGAAGCTGCCCCTTAGCCCAGGCCCTATGACAGCAGCCAGCATTGTTTCCAGAGGCAACAGCATTTGAAGATATGACCAAAGATTGGAATTATTTAGAAGCCTCTCAAAAGGATTACTACGGGGACACAATGCTGGACAGTTATGAGAACATGGTCCCACAGGGTAAGGACTGAGGATCTTCCTTTATTAATCCTGTAGACAATTGTCAAGGGGAAACCGTCATTTAAAAATATCCCCACAGCTTTCTTCTTGATTCCCCCAAAATAAGGACAGATTCTTCAGCAATAAAAAATTGTGTTGTTGTTGTTTTGTTGTTGTTGTTTTGTCTTTTTTTTGGAGGCAGTCTCACTTTGTCTCCCAGGCTGGAGTGCAATGGCATGATCCCAGCTCATTGCAACCTCTGCCTCCTGGGTTCAAGCAATTCTCCTGCGTCAGCCTCCCAAGTAGTTGGGATTACTGGCTCCTGCCACCACACCTGGCTGATTTTTGTATTTTTAGTAGAGACAAGGTTTTACCATGTTAGCTAGGCTGGTCTCAAACTCCTGACCTCTAGTGATCTGCCCAGCTTGGCCTCCCAAAGTGCTGGGATTACAGGCACGAGCCACTGCACCCACCCAAGAAATTGTTTCTGTTGATTATGGGAAGGCTCAGAAGCAATCCCTGGTATTAATTTCAGTTTAAGAGTTTGCTATTAATTAGCTGGGTGTGGTGGCACATGCCTGTAATCCCAGCTACTCAGGAGGCTGAGGCAGGAGAATCACTTGAACCCAGGAGGCAGAGGTTGCAGCAAGCCGAGATTATACCACTGCACTCCAGCCTGGGCAACAGGGCGAGACTCCGTCTCAAAAAAAAAAAGAAAAAAAAAGTTTGCTGTTATTATATGGTACCTTTTAGCAGGGTTCTCCCATTTATATTATTTTAAAGGATATTAAGGGTAAGATTTTAGTCTGCTGCCTTAGAAGTTTCTGTTTATCCTCTCTCCTATTCAATTAATAATAACCAGTCGATTAGGTTTCATGCTATAAGCTAACGGCTTCATTGTTTTTTCTGTTCACCTAAAGTCTAAAACCTCTACATATTTGTGATCTTACTGATGTCAAATTCTATTGCTATGCTCTGGTTTTGGATGGTTCTAGTTGGCTTTCTAGCTGCTTTATACTATATTCTATTATC